CATAGAGGAGCAGCAGCAGTCGCATAGAGAGCAGCAGCAATCGCATAGAGGAGCTGCAGCGTCGCATAGAGGAGCTGCAGCGGTCGCATAGAGGAGCTGCCGCAGTCGCATAGAGGAGCTGCAGCAGTCACATAGAGGAGCAGCAGCAGTCGCATAGAGAGCAGCAGCAATCGCATAGAGGAGCTGCAGCGGTCGCATAGAGAGCTGCAGCGGTCGCATAGAGGAGCAGCAGCAGTCGCATAGAGGAGCAGCAGCGGTCGCATAGAGAGCTGCAGCAGTTGCATAGAGGTGCAGCAGCAGTCGCATGGAGGAGCTGCAGCAGTTGCATAGAGGAGCAGCAGCAGTCGCATAGAGAGCTGCAGCAGTCACATAGAGGAGCAGCAGCAGTCGCATAGAGGAGCTGCAGCAGCAACACAGAGGTGCAGTTACAACGAGAAGTTAATACGTAAGAACACAGGCTGAGCATTGTGTGGAAACAACACCATGGGCCCTGCAGTCATCATCATCGTCTAATCATTTGTCACCCATGACATTAGAAATAGCCTGTAATCTGTACAAAGATTCACATGTGGAATTGTGGGTAGCCTCATCATTTGTAATAAAAGAATGAGATTTTAGTTAAGGGGCCCAGGGCATAGCTCAGTGGTGGAGTAAATGTTTAGTGTGCACAGTTTAGTTCTCAGCACACACGCAGACACACACATCCCAGTCGAACAAACGTCAGTCTTGTCTCAATTGAAATGGACTTGTAATAGTCATTTAACAACATTGGAAACATGATTTAATTGCAAAGCAGAACATCTGGCTAGGAACTATGATCTCCATCTGCTTATGTGGAAAAGGATGGAAAGAAATAAAACAAATGATATATTATAATGACTAGGTTGTGGGACTAAGGGCTATTTATTTTAATTTTTGCTATTGTCCAGGTTATCTGCAAGCATTTTACCTCTTGAATTAAAAAAAAATCATGGGGCAGCAGGGAGAATTAAGACAAAGTATAATGACACCTGTATGAAGATACCGTCATGGAGCTCATCACTTTGTATGCTGACCTAAACAACTATCGGAAAAGAGAAAACCCATAGCATTTGTGATTTTAGAGTTTTGCTAGGAATTAGGTACTATAAATCTGGAGCTTTGTAAAAGCTACCTTCTTGGCTGTTAATGTTGCTTAAAACATTTAAAAATGAGATGTGTACGGTCTCTCTTTAATCTGGGGTTCTTCCTGTTGGCTACACTGCTGTCCAGTAAGCCCCCAGGGTCTGTCCGTCTCTGCTCCTCCAAGGTTGGGGTTACAGATGCATGCTGCATGCCTACTTTTGGGCTATGGGGATTTGAACTCAGGTTCTCAGGCTTTCATGGCAAGTACTTTATCTTATGACCCATCTCTCCAGCCCCAGATGCCCCCATGCTTTGGAGAAGACAGCTCGCCCCAGGTGACCCTGGTGTTGTGTGGGGAAGCCTGTTTGAGACTAGTAGTCTGTGCTGCCCACTGTCTCCTCATCAACACTGCTCTTTTGGGGCATCAGGCAGAGGACTGTCCTCTGGATACAAATGTGTTCAACCGCAAAGTCAGAGACTTTCCGTGGGCATTATAGCTACTAACTTAAATGTCAGTGTTTACAACCCACGAGATGGCTTACTCCCACATTAAGAAGCTGAAGTACAAACAGAACACAAAACCAATTTTTAAACCTTTAAAAAGGTTTTGGAGTTCTACAAAGACTTTGGATTTGGAAAGAAAGTTTGGATATTTTAAAGAAGCTTTGAACTCTTTTCTTTTCTGAGACAAGATCTCACTATGTAGTTCCGGCTGTCTTGGAACTCATTATGTAGGTCAGGCTGGCTTTGAACTCGCAGAACTCTGCCTGCCTCTGCTGCTGAGTACTGAGATTAGAGGTGAGCACCACCACACCTGGATAGAGACTGAACTTTTTTAAGAGTTTATATTTTTAAGGACTGCAGGACTTTTAAAATTGGATGGCAGCACCCTAAGGACACAACTTTTAGCCCATTGAGCTGCCTTCTCGGTGTTACTGAGGAGGGAGGCAAAACCTCCCGGCTCTCTCTTGGGGACATCGATGAACAAGATAAATCATCAGAGCACCTAGTAAGCAAGCGGTGAGGGGGCGGGGCAGCAGTGGCCATTGACTCACACATGCACAGGAAGGCTGTCAGGAGTGCCATTGTGGTCGTGGTCTGTGAGGTCATTAATCGAGCTTACTGCGATGACTGCTTGTCCGATAGTGTAGACGATGGATAATGAAATAATTGTCCTGTGTTCAGAAAGGTGAGAGAGACCTGGTTAATTGCCCAACAGTTGTCCGTTTCCATTTTCCTTCCTGCAAAACTTCACACTGTCCAGTCACAGATCCATCCACCTGTTCTCAAAACATGAACTCTCAGGACGGATGGCATAGGAGCATAGAAGGGGGGAGCCCTACCTCTACCTTCCCTCCACCCCCACCTCTGCTACCACAGAAATTAGCATTTATAGCTTTGGACAATAAGCCTTACTAATCCTGACAGCACTGAGTGGACTCAGGGGTTAAAACAAGCAAGCAAGCAAGCAAACACAACCTCAGGAAAGAATGCATGGTGGGGTAGGGGAGGAATTAGATGGAGAGAATTCAGGGTGAACTTGATCAAAACACGTTATATACATGTATGAAATTTTCAAACAATTAAAAAAGGGAGTTTCTAGTCTTGTGCCCGGTAGCACTGGCTGGCTAGGAGTGGACATGAGACTAACTCTACCAACTTCTTTAAAGGAATGACTGCTCTTGCTCTTGCCTGTGCTGTGCATCCCCCTTCTCTGCAAAGTTCCAGGAAACTTTGAGATGTCCCCTGGCTGGGTGAACGCTCACAGTGGCTTCCCATCCACCAAGCCACTTGAGTCTGCAGCGGCCAGGCTTGTGCAACAGGCAGTCTTTGTTTTCCCAGCTCTGAAAGCCGAGTCTTACCAGGGAGAGGCAGCATGCCCCTGTCACGATTTCAGAGTGATACAGTTTGGTTGGGGTTAGGCATAAAGAAACAAAACAACCATGACAAAACCAGAACCTTCTTGAAATCACAGGGCTAAGTGTTAGGAATAGGATATTAAGCAGAAACAAGGCCACGGATGTCCAAGTTTCTTTTCCTCGAGTCTTCCTTCTCCTAGTCTATTATTGCAAACCACAAAGCTCACAGTGAACATCTCTGCTCGTGTGGTTGACCACGTCCCAATCACTCACTTGAACTTCCCCAGCCATGAGTCTGCGATCAGGGCTCCGAGAATTGGAGTCAGGTAGCACAGGGCAGCGAATGTATGATAGATAGCCGTGGACAGATCGTCGTCCCAGCCAATGAAGTTTCTGAAGTACAGGACCAGGAGTGCTTTCCGAGGGGGGGCAGGCAGGAGAGAGGAACCAAGTTAGGGCTGGCTAAGGGAACACACGCTCTCACAGAAGGGCAGGGTGAGCCCGAAACTTACCTCGCATCCCATAGTAGGAGAATCTCTCACAGAATTCATTGACCACAATAAAGAAGATGCTCAAGGGGTAGCCAAAGCAACTCTGACGAAAAGGAAAATAATATCCAGACATGCTCATCGTGGGTCCACACCCCACACACGCTCATCATGCTCCACACCCCACACACCAGCAGTGGACAAAGATTCCCACACACTTAACAAATTCTCAGTTCCGTTAGGACCTAGGATCTTGAGTTTTGCAGTTTTTATAGCCCATGTCAGTCATTCCTACATAAAGACTGCCATGAAATAAATCAACTAGCACGAGAGGAAATAAAACAGCATTTCTTAAGGCAAGGACACCTCATACAGACCCTCCGACCATTCCTTATGCCCTAAGCACATTATGTGTCAAGAGAATAAAGCGCATTTATGGCCACTGAGTAACCAAACATTGTATAATTTCCAGGATGAAGGCACAGGAGACAGATAAAGGATACTCACCCGTGACTTGGACATCCCTAAAAGAAAAACAAAACACCAATGTTAAAGTTGTGTCTTCCTCTGAAGGAGGATGTTACAGCTTCCCTGGTTTCCCTTAACAATTAGCTTTGGCACCCTCTGGGATCCCAGGCCAGGGCTCTCACATCTGAGGAGGTCAGTGTGGGCTGAACGTCCTCAGGCAATGCTTGTGATCATTCAGGGTGAGAACAAAGCAGTGCCCTAACCATTTCCTCCTCAAATGCTTCAAAGGCTACCTCTGCCTAAAACCCAAGCACTGTGGTGTATTTTTCACTGGGGTCCGGTGAGGGTCAAACCATTGAGGTGTAGCATGCCTTGGGGTGCCTAATCCAGGGTGAGGACACAACCACTCTTTCCAGTTCCTAACCGTGTCTTCCTTCCAGCCCTTCCCCGTGCAACCACCCCGTGATACCCAACTGTTTTGTTTGTTCACTGAATACACGGTATGTTCTCTTGAGATGGCCACCTGATGCTGGCAGCCCTACCTTTTCCACTCAAGTTTTAGCATCAGTGTTGACATTCCCTTCACACAGTATGGTGTGATGATGGGTCACTCATGTTCTGCCTCCCCTCTAGACTGAGTCTCTCAATGGAAGAAACATGCTACGCATCTTAACATCCCTGTCTCTTGTACAGTAGGTACCGTGAGCACAGCTATTGCTAGAAGAACAAATTAGAAGACAGCAAGTACAAATCAAAACACGAGAATCCAAACCTAGTGTAGTTTTCTACCACCTAATTCTGAGGAGTGCCCTTCAGTCCCATGGCCTCCGAAACAGAGACCTCTGAATTTGGGGTATCCTGCACCTTTGTCTCTGGTCTTCACTAGACCTTTTCTGCTTCCTATACCTATGTATTGCTCCATACTGATCACTGCCTGTCACCCCTGTGTCCCTTTTCAGGGGTGAGAGAACACACCTTCTTCCTGTTTCCCAGCCCCCCTTGGTCTCAGAGTTCTTGGTTGTGGGGCTCCTGAGGCTCCCCTGCCTCTGTTAGGAGCCAATGGCTCAGAAGTCATAGTTACAAGCTAGACTGTTCCTGAGACTCTCCAGGGGCTTGTGAGGACAGACAGCTGGGTGGGGAATCAGAGCTGCTGACTCTGTAGGCCTGGCAGACACATATGACTGCATTTTCTATCCAGTCGCAGGGTGGCATGCTTTGAAAACCGCTGCACTGGAGAATCCTGAGTAATCGTTAAGCCCCGGTTGTGGCCCCCTGAGCCCTGCCCTGCAGCAAAGTGAACTCTCTGGAGACAGCTCTGCTGGAACCCACACTTGTCATTGTGCCTTGTATCAAGACTTAGGCAAGATCTGCCTATCAAACAAGTTCCAAGGTGACATGGATGCTGTGGTCCAGGGACTTCACACTCTGAGAAGCACATATAAGTTGGTATCTTGCTGCCTGACAGATCTCCATATGCGCTTGAAGATGGCCACTTCTCTGGTCCTGAGAACCAGGAAGCCCAGCTAGCTACCCAGGGCAGGAAGCAAAGGCAGAAAGAAGCTGGGCCGGTACTGATCTGCTCCAGCTCTGTGCCTCGGTCTCTTGTTCCCCGTTCACAGCTCTCTTCCCCAGAATTACCATGTTTACTGTCGGTCTGAGTAACTCCCAGATCTGTCCTGAAATAAGCAAAACCCCAGTTCTGCAAGAGGAACTTTTTGTTTTTACCTAGACCGTATGGATCTCCCCAAATCAGCCCCCGACCCCTGGCAGGTACATCTCTCCCCATTCCTGTCATCTGAGCTGGGCCCTTTCCACTTGCCCAGCTCAGCTGTGACTCCAGGCATCACACCGGATGGCCTTGCGTTTTTGCCCACTTCAGAGTATGATTGATGTTATTTAAGTCCTTGCTCCAAGGAAGGAAATGCACCATCCGGAGCCCCTAGGACTCCAGTTCCCAATTCTTCTTTCTGTTGAAGCTAGAGCCAAAGAGTCCACACCATAGACAAACAGGGTTTTTCCACAGTTAAGAGTTCTTTGATGGAAGAGGTCGCTTCAAGGTGCCGTGAATAAAACGAGAGCCAAGGGGTCAGACCTGAGGTTGAACCTCCGTTCTGCCAGCTGGCATCTGGGGGCCTGGGCAAGCCTGGATAACGAACGGGATAATGGATTGAAGATAAACAGTGCCAGCACTGATGCCGAGGCTGAAGACTTGGGTTCAATTCACAGAATCTGTTAGGAGAATGGACTTCTGCAAGTTTTCTTCTGACTGATACAAACATGCTTGCACATGAACACACACACACATACATACACAGTGTAAAAAAAAAAAAGAGTTTACATGAAGGTTTCTCTTCCCAGCTTCATGCATTAGTAAATCAGAGATGCTACCATCCTGGAATCTTCAACCTTGAATGGCACTGTCCTGAAACCATTCACCGAGTAGGTCTCCAAAGAGTCCCATGTCTCAATCTTCAAGTACAGAGTTCAGATCCTGACCCTGATCATCTAGGAGATGGTTGATCTTAACTTCTGTCTTGGTTGGATTTACAGTCACTATGGAGACAAATCCCTGGGCATGCCAAGAGAGTGTTTGCAGAGAGGTTCGACACATCCTGAGTATGAATGGCACCCTCACCCTCTGGATAGGTCCTAGATTGAGCAAGGGGAAGCCGAGCTGAGCACCAGATGTCATCTCTGTCTACTTCCTGTCCTGGAAGACACGTGACTGTGATTTTGCTGTCCTGACTTTCCTGCAGCGATGGACCATACACTCAGACAGCCTGCATAAACCCTCCCTGCCTTCAGCTTATTTTTTCATGTACTTTGTCACAGCAGTGAGACACTCCCCACTCCCCTTCTCCTCCCCAACCCCTCCCTCCCTACCCCCTCATCCCCACCCCCTCACCCTCCACCCCTAACTGACTGGCCACCTTCTGGCTGAGCATTCTCCATCTGTTTCCCCTAGGACCTGACAGCTCCGGCTGTGCTAGAGATATAAGGATGAGGTAGATGAGGAGGAGGGAAGTTTTCCTAAAGCCATCCCTATGGTACCACCCCAGTTCATCTCTAGCCTCCAGTGACAGTCATTGGTGCTCTGAGGTCAGTCCTCTGCACAGCTCCATAACTCAAGTTTTGGTGTCTTCCTCTCCATCACATTTGGTGTTTGAGGGGTCTCCCAAGGATACCTGCTCTGTGGTTTCTCATCTTCCACCCTTGCCTGGTCTTTGGGGTACATTACCTCCTATGCCACTTTATTCTTGACAGAACCATAATAATACAATATATTAGCTACAGACACTCTCTACTGTCATTGTCCAGCCCTACACAAGGATGAGTCTTAATGACCCGGGACAAGGACAGAGGAGGCAAACCAGGCTGTGGGAGTTCTTCAGCCATGATTTATTGCAGGGCGGCTTGTGTTCTTGAAGAAATAGCAGTGCCCCCTGATGCTCTATCTACTTAAACCTCCCCATGGAGTGATGAGAGAGACTGACACAGAGGCCCAGGATGTTCTGACAAGGGAGGGCTGCAGCTCAGACTCCACAGAGCCAGGGTGAGTTTTATTACAGCACTGATTTTCATAAAATGTATATATGGTTAAGGGAAATGTGTAGCTGGCTGAGGCCTTAGTTGACCAGAATTTCATCATGGAAAAGAAAGAGTCCAATCTCCCTGAAGCATAAGCCTGAGATGTGGGACCCAGCCATTCTACGGGAAGCATTTTGTGTTTTGAAAGGTGTGCATTCCCAAGAACTGCCTTCAGTATTCCGGGGCAGAGGTCACTCAGCTCTTTTTATAGAATCCAGAGCTATCTGCTGGCCGTACACCAAAGTCAGCGTTTCTTATCTGGATGTACCTGTGTCAACAGGGCTGCTATAATAGAAAGGCCAAGTTCAGAACCAGGGGCTCCAAGTTCTGATTTGATGTGAACTCAGATTTCAGCTTCAGCGAGGCTTGTTTACTTTAGTCCATGGTGTGGTACTTTAGTCCTGGTTATTATACTTGGTCAGCATGCTGGAGTGCTCCATGTTTCAGGCACAGCTCGTGGAGATGCAAGCATGATCACAGCCACATCTAGACTCCAGACTCCCTTATCTAGAAATCTCAGTGGTGCCAGTGTGTCTAATCACTGGCTATTATTATGTCTAATAGATTTTGACTTTCTGCTGTCTAAAAAAATTTTAGACAGAATTTAATAACAGTCAGTATTTATTCTGCATTTCTGTCATTACTAACTTCGGGACGCTGTAGAGGGACAGAGAAGGTGGGGGGGGGAGAGTGAGGCTCTGGTGAGACCCATCACTTAGAAGCATTTCGTCGTCAGCAAGGTCATTTCATGTGGTTTATGCAGAGTGTATTTTAAACCACGAAGGGTTAGAATCTCTTAAGTGATGTTTTGTTACCTAACAGTCAATACAGTGAGGGATGCCCAATGGGAAATGTTCTGAGAAATGCATTTTGTCATTGATGGCAAGGATCACGATGACATTTTCATCCTTGTTCAAACATCACAGAGTGTATTTACACAAACCTGGAAGGTACAGCCTATCACAGGCCTGCAGTATAGTGCAATCTTGTGGGCATGGCTCCATCCACAGTCAGAAAATCATACGGCCCTTAGCTGAGATGCCTCAAAACACTCGGGCCATGCAGTGAACTTCCAGAAGTTGGATTTGGGATCTTAGAAGATCAAAGCATTTGCTGAGGTCTGAGAAAGGAACCTCTACTTTCAGATGGAGAAAGAACTATTTCCTACCACTTCTAAAAACACCTGAATCCTACCCTCTGGGCATCTTTCTGTCCATGGAGAAGGGGGCTTTGCTGGTATCATTTCATATCTTGAATATGGACTTGTATCTTGAGTTACTCAGTGGGCGAATATACCATACAAAGAAGAGATGGCATGATGACGGATCAGGGATCGTCCCTTCTGTACCACTGACTGTCAAAGCAAGTGAAGTCAGCCACTGTGGTCCCAGCACTGGGCAGGCAGATCTCTGTGAGTTCAAGGCCAACCTGGTCTCCATAGTGAGTTCTAGGACAGCCAGTATTAT